TAGAAGAAAAATATAAAGTTTTTTAGATCTAAAAATAAGCTATTTATATAATCATCAGTAGTTACTCTATAGTAAAGCCAAAATTTTACTAAGTAAATCGATCTACCTTATTAAGTAAAAGTTGTTCAGAAGATCAAAATACATAAATTTTGAAAATTTCATCTAAATTGGACAACTTTTATTAATCTATTTTCGTATATTACATTTGATAAATTATTTTAAATTTTTTTAAAATTTATATTTGTCGAACGTAAAAATCAAAAGTCAATTAATAAAAAGTTATCTGATTTATATAATATTTTCAAGATATATGTATTATGATCTTCTGAACAACTTTCACTTAATAAAGTAGATCGATATACTTAGTAAGATTTTGACTTTACTATAGAGTAACTACTAACGATTATATAAATAGCTATTTTTAAATCTAAAAAATTTTTATATTTTCTTCTAAAAAAAAAAAATAACTTATTATTAGAAGTAAATTATTTTTGATAATATATAATATATATATATGTTGTGCCTCAGATGCATCCTTGCATCGGATGCAATCCGACGCACGTCAAATGCCGATTTTCAGATGATGCATGTCACCTGTCAATTGGTCACCTGACATGCATCAGCTGTAATCTGACGCAAGATCTTTAAAATTTTCAAAAAAATATAATAATGTCATTACAAAAGATGTAGTAATAACATCATTACGAATAAGAGCATAAAAAGCCTTTTTGCTCTTATCTTGATTTTTTTTTTTTGTATAATGGTTTGTTTTACCTTTAATGGCTGGTATACTTTTTTTTTTATTTCTTGTTGGTTGGTTGGTTCTTGGTTTCACGTTGCCTTAATTCTTGGTGCCCATTAAAACATTAGATGTTGGATTCATTCTTGGTGCCCACTAATATATTGGACGTTAGGTTTGTTCTTTGTGCCCACTAATAATACATTGGACGTTGTGCTCACTAATAATACATTGGATGTTGGATTCATTCTTGGTGCCTACTAATACATTGGATGTTGGATTAATTCTTGGTGCCCACTAATACATTGGACGTTGGATTCTTGTTGCCCACTAATATATTGGACGTTGAATTCATTCTTGGTGCCCACTAATATATTGGACGTTAGGCTTGTTCTTGGTGTAATAATACATTGGACGTTGGATTTATTCTTGGTTCCCACTAATATATTGGACGTTGGGTTTGTTCTTAGTGCCCACTAATACATTGGACATTGGATTCATTCTTGATGCCTACTAATATATTGGACGTTGGGTTTGTTCTTGGTGCACACTAATACATTGGACGTTAGGTTTGTTCTTTGTGCCCACTAATAATCCATTGGACATTGGATTAATTCCTGGTTCCCATTAATATATTGGACGTTGGATTCATTCTTGGTGCCCACTAATACATTGGACGTTGGATTCTTGTTGCCACTAATACATTAGACGTTGGATTCATTCTTGGTGCCTATTAATATATTGAACGTTGGATTTATTCTTGGTGCCCACTAATATATTGGACATTGGATTCTTGTTGCCTACTAATATATTGGACGTTGGATTTATTCTTGGTGCCCACTTATATATTGGATGTTGGGTTTGTTCTTGGTGCTAATAATACATTGAACGTTGGATTCATTCTTGGTGCCCACCAATACATTGGACATTGGATTTGCTCTTGGTGCCCACTAATATATTGGATGTTGCCGCTTATCATTTATTTTTTCTTTGATCTTAACTGTTTTCATTGGCTGCCACCTTTTTTTCCCCCGTAATACCTACCAAATGGAGTATACATTTATTAGTAAAAGCACCCTTAACCGAATCTTGGAAAAGTATATAACTAATCTTCCAAAAGCAAAGCAAGGGAAGGCCTTAATCAATTTGGAACTCTTAAATAAAATAAAAAACATTTTATTAAACCCCAAAGACACCTCGCTTTATGATAAAAATATACGAAGTTGGCCAAAAAAAAATTTAGGCTTGAAAAAATTATGCCTGGTGATTACAGGGTAATCGTAAAGGCTACAAATAACCCTATATTAATAACCGAAAGGTTTTATGAAGTTCTCTGTCATACTCACGGTAAAATAACACAACATAGTGGTCAAAAACAAACCTGGAAGTCAATTCGTAAAAAGTGGGGGTTTGTAAAACAAGAAGTTGTAGAACAATTTGTGAATAATTACACTGCGTGTGCAGCCCAAAAACCAGCATTCTATCTCTTGGCAGCAAAACTAATCATTGCAAAAAACTTTTTGTCTCGTATACAGGTAAGTTTTACATTTTTGAAAATAAAAATTAAAAAAATTTTTTTTAACTATATTTATTTTATTTTATTTTATATTTTGCAGATGGATTTGATCGATCTATCCTATATCCCAGATGGAGATTTTAAGTATTTATGTTATGTAAGAGACCATTTCAGTCGGTTCTCATAGGCAAGACCTCTAACATCCAAGAGAGCGATTGAAGTCGTGGCATATCTTTTTAATCTTTTCCACATAATTGGATCACCTCTAACTATACTCCAGTCCGACAATAGGAAGGAGTTTGTAGCACAAGTAATCAAGAAACTAATAGAGTTATTGCTATCAGTGAAAATTATTAACAGATACCCCAGGCATCCCCAATCGCAAGGTTTAGTGGAACGTGCCAATGGCATCTTGGAGCAAAAGCTAGAAAAGTAGCATGAAACGACTGGCAGAAATGACTAGTCATTTGGCTTAAGATTGGTCGTGGTGGCCATAAACAATTCATGGTATAGATCACATAAAAAAACTCCCTATGAACTGGTTTATGGAGACAAGCCCTGTGGTGATTGCTCTCTGGTTGATGAACTTTATGCAAATAATATCTTCGACGAAGAGGAAATTCCTGATATAATCGAAATTTACAGTGATTATGATATAGACTTGGATGATGATATGGCCAGTATTAAAATTAATTAAAGCATTTTATTTATTACTAACTACTGTATATACTTTTTTTTTGATTATTAATTTATTTATTTTTAGAGTCTTTACCTGGTAATATTGGTGATTCAGAACCATCGCCTGATCATGTTAGTTCAGTTCCATTGCCTGATAATCATATTGGTTATTATGTGTCTTCGCCTGAAAGTTTTGTGTCCTCGTCCGAAAGCTCTGTGTCCTCGCCCAATAATTATACTGGTTTACCAGTAGCTTTATATGATGATAATGGTAGTTATACTATGATTTTGCCTAATA